TATATATATATTATGATGTTCATTGATTATTGTTCACTTAAAATAGATCGTTTGTTTAGTGTAAAAAATATTGTAACGACTCGTCATGATCTCTACATTCAAAAATAAACAAGTAGTAGCAGAAATAATTACTAACTTATAGTTATATATATACTTACAGATACAATAATATATATTATATAACTTGCATATAAAGATGAAAAATAAAAAAGACTAATCAAATATATGCAATATAGATACAGTAATCATGTAAATATAAACTATACAACCTAAATTGTCAGTCAAACTATATAAAATACTACTCTAGGATAATATCCAAAAATATAAGCAACATGACCATCCTCTTGATAGCCACCACAGCTGCAACACCTCATACACATTCCTACTTTGTTTCTATACCATGTATGATCATCGTAGTCCAAATTATACGAAAACACACAAGGGTAATTTAGAGTTTTAAAGAAAAAACATATATACAACATAAAACGTTAAAAACTAATACATCATCACATCTTCATCTCATCTCCAACACTATCGACACACAACATCACAATACAATCAACATTTATCATCATGAACACTCAGTCTATTACAACACAATATTAACTCAAACATCATAACATTAATAACTCAAATTGTTCATCATAATAACAGTATTTACAATACAACAAATATGTACAATATCATGCATTTTAATTAGGAGATTTACAACACAGGAAGAGTAGTTTAAGTGGTTTAATCCTACCAAACTAACAACACAGAGTGACCTTTTTGTCTTGCTAGATCAACAGCTGATTAGACACTACTAGAAAAATTAAAATTAGAGAGGGAACGAATCCGTCACTAAATTTTATAAAATCCGTCACAAAACAAATTAGTTACAAAACTGATTTCGTCACAAAAAAATTGGCATCACAAAATATTTAGTGACGGATAATTTCAGTCCGTCACAATTAGTGACAGAATTAAGGCATCACAAATAATATATTTTTCGTCACTAATTTCTAATATTAAATGTTCATAAATTAATAAAATTTCGTCGCAATTTATGACGGATTAACTCCGTCACAAACTCCGTCACAAATTTGTGAGGGATATGTGCCTCTTATTAACGTCACAAGTTGAGAGGGATTTTGGCCTCTCAAGAGTTTTATTTCACGACATTTCACTTTTTAGCGTGTTTTATCCATATTTGCACACTTTCTAGGAAATTTCCCCAAAGGTCACTCATCCCTATATCATCCCTGTACTACTCCAGGTCAAGCACGCTTAACTGTGAAGTTCTTATGAGTAAGCTACCGAAATGTATATGTATGTTGTCAGTATAACTTGTACAAATTAATTCATTTAAGTCATTCTCAAATATACAATCTCATATTTGTACTATAATAATAATATATAATAATTTTATATTACAAATAATAATAATTAATAATAATAATATATTTAATTATTATTTATTTATATGTACTTACTTTTATAATTAACGTCTACTTATTTCTATTTAAAATTATAATTTAAATTATTTTATTTTATAATTTATAATGATAATATAATTTATATAATTATAAATATTTATTTATTACATACTTATAAATTAAATTTTAACATTTTAAATAAATTATTAAATAGTTTAATATATTTATTTATCTTAAATCAATTCTATAAAATTCAAAAAATGTATTTATCCTTATTTTATTTTTTAATTATCAATCATTAATAAAATACTAACTTAAAATCTTACCTATTTATATCATAATATTTTCACATCAAATTTAAAGCCAGATATTAGTTATACAAAAATATTAAGATCATATAGTAAATTTTCAATAAGATTTTAGTTAAATAATTTAAAATAAATAATATTTCAATTATATTTTTATTTAGCAAATAATTTATTCCAAAATTAATTAATTTTTTTAATATTAATTATTAGTAAAATTTAATAACTTTTAATTTAACAATTGGATCGATGAAATTCAACACACACCATGAGTTATTAAGCGGAATAACTTTACCGAGAATTATTTTATAAATTATTTGATTCCTCCACTCTCTCTTTCTCTATCTCTGTCTCTCTCAGAGAGAGAGATGAGGGTTATACTAACACTGGTGTAACTTTTACTAAGTATTACACACCACTCAATAACTTTATATTAAATGTGAATTTTGTAAATCCAACCGTTAAATTACTATAAAAACTATAATAATATATAATAGTTATATTACGAATAATAATAATAATAATATATTTAATTAATCTTTATTTATATATACTTACTTTTATAATTAACAATCTACTTATTTTTATTTAAAATTATAATTTAAATTATTTATTT